TTCTTGATAATGTATTATAACCTGATGTAAACCCTTGTTTTTTGCCTCATATCTGCATTTTGACATCATACTATGTTGAAAAATATTTCTAAAACTATTCTGGTGTTAATAAAGTGTTGATAACACGTCTATATTTAAATACCACTAGTAGTCTTAGTACCACAGCCAGTATTTTATGATTTGAGAATGATACTATAGGAACATGCTCAAGGACTTTATAAAAAGCATGTCAAGGAAAAAAAAAAAAAAGCAGAACAAGGGGGGTCAGAGACAACAATATGTAAGAAAAAACATAGAAAATTTATCTCACCAGAAACAGCACCTCTTCTCAGTCTCAGACAAGTACGGCCTCCAGAAAAGCCAATTCAAGCGTTGGGAAGTGGCAGGATCGATATGGGAGGGCCGAATCACCTGATCTAAGGTAAGGCCATTTTTAAACATTGGATACTCCCTGATGTTTAGATCATCAGTGTTGTTTTGTTTTATTAGTAAGATAATAAATTTTGTACCATATTTTTACCCCCCAGATTATGCTTTTTCATGGTGCAGCTGAGAGTTTTTTAGTTACCTTGTGAATTAAGACCTAGCATGTATCTTGCCACTCATCTTTCTGGTCTTTTATAATGTATAATCATAAATTGTATTGAATCACACTAATGGGTGCTCAGTACATGTTTTTTTCTCCCCTTTGCTACAGGTTAATTCTTCTTTCTTATACCATAGCCTGTTAAAAATTCCCCAGGTGGTTTTCATTACTTACTGAATAACATCTAACCTGAGCCAGTATTTAGGACCTGTAAAATTTGACTCCACTGAATTTGTCCAATCCTTATCCCCAACTACAATTTGTAAACCTGCTGTTTCTTTAAGTAGATACACCAACTATCCCTCGATGTACTATTTCCTTTATTGTTGTTAAGCTTTTACTAATGATCTACCCCTCCATAGAATCTTGGTTTGTGTTCTACATCTTATATTTATACGGCTACAACATTGGGCAAATATTACAATTTCTCTGAGCCTGAAATATGGGAATAATAACGTCATCCCTAAGGGATATTATGAGAAGCAACTGCGTTAGGGTATGAAAGCACATTGCCAACAGTGATCAATCTGGGAGATTATACTTTGTTGCCCGACTTTGAAATATAGACCAAGATTCCTTCCTGATTTACCATTTGAGGTTTAAATAATTATGGTATATGAGGTTTAATTTTGTTAGTTTCATTTTGCTTTTGTTGCAGAATTTTAAGCTTTTTTCTTGGGAGCTTGATGCTATATTAATGTGCTTTTAATTACTTAAAAACTTTAAAATATGTAAATCATGATCAGATACCTTTGATTGTAACGACTAAAAGAAAAGCAAAGGGAGGAAACGCTATCAAAATTTGATTTTCTTAGATTTCTTTTTCTGTAGGGTCTCAGCTTTATATTCTACGTGAATTATAAGAATTTCTATTCAATTTGCTTTCATACCATTTCCTGTTAGAAGAGAATAAGCTTAGTCATTCTTAAAAGTGGGTATTCATCTCAAAGTAAGACTATTCAACTATAAGTCTAGTAACAGATAAAAATATATTATCAGTGTTCTTAGAATAGTGTCAGTTGCACGTGTTGCTTTAGCAGGTTAAGGAATGAAAGTGCCTCTTATTTTAAAAGTATCTATTGACTTTTTTTATATGTGTTATATGATACTGATCTTTGTTTTTTAAACACAAATTCTGTTTGAGAAACCAATAGAAATTTCAAGAGTTATTTTAAATAAAGGAAAGTTAAATCTGATAAGTGTGAAGTGTATGAACCTTTTCATATTTGACATTTTTGCGAAACCCAAAAGCTTAACAGTTTTGCAAATGTTTCTATATAATAACTAACTTGATTATTATAGTGCATAAAGAAACACTTGGATTTATATTTAACCCAGTCAACAATGTGGATAGCCTATTTACTGACCCTAAAAGGACTGGACAATAAGAACTTTAATTATAAATTCATTATCATGCTGCTATTGGTAATGAATGTTAAAGCTGTTTCATGGCATTAGTATTGGATTTGGGTTTTAGGTTTAGTTTTGTCAGTAACCACTTGTGTGAATTAAGGGAAGTTGCCCAAAGTCTTTGAGCTTCCATTACCACATCTGTAACGTGGTGGGGCTAGACTGCGTAATCTGGAAGGCCTCTTCAGTCTTGAAATTCTTTGTTTTCTGACTAGTCCCTGGTTTGCAATGGAAAAAGAAATCTGAGAAATTAGGGAATTTGCCCAAATTCGCAGCTAAAGTTAAGAGGCAAAGCCAGGACTAGAATACCTGGTTTTCTACCTTTTAGTACCTGCAGTTCAGGCAAGTTGACTTTTGTAGGAAAAGGCATAGAAATACTTAAAATTTGTTACGTTATTTTAAACTTTATATTTGTTTCTTCTGCTTTATTGTTTTAACATCTGAAATTCTCTTCATATCAATTATTTAACTTAGAAGTTTTTACATAAACCATTACACTTTTTAATATAATATTTCTTGACATAAGATGGCTGGTTTATAGGGAAGATCCTGGTTGTCGTACCTGCAAGTGATACAAGTCGGTGCTTACTTTGTATGAACTTCCCCTGTACTCCCTCCTCCTCCTCCCAAAAAAAGATGCTTTGGAAACAAAAAAACTCTCTACTCTGACTTTGTGACTAGTCTTAGGGAATGTGTATAGTAGGAAATTTGACACTGTTTTCTGTTTTTGAAAATTCCAAAAATAAATACTTTTTTCTCTTTTTAGATAGTGTGTATATGTGTGTACATGCATATATATACACACACACTTAAATAGGATAAGACAGAAAACTAGATTCCAGCTGGTGTATTTCATGTAACTGACAAGTGTGGAGTTTGTTCGAGGCATTGCTTAAATCTGTTTGTAAAGAGCAAGTAAACAATGGTTGAGATCCTTTTCATAAGTTACTCTGTTTGAAAATTTGGACTTCTTACCTCATGCTCGTTACTCTTAATTTGTATAATATAGTGTTTTTCAAACTTAACAGTATTTTTCAAGCTAACTCTTGTGTATAACGATGGCATTTTATTGGTGTGAGTTTGCTTTATAACTTTGAATTTGTAACTCATGTAAAGCCAATTAGTAAGAAGAATGAATCAGTTTTAGTGAATGCAAAAAACTGAAGTTGGCAATATGGATGATTGCTATGAAGTTATCCTAATGTGCAGTTTATTTCTGTATTGTTTCATTTTTTAATACCAAGTTCTGCTCCTCGTAGAACTTAAGTTTCAAGCTCAGTTGTTCTTACGTTTACATCCCAATTTCAGAATGCTTTTTAACTGATTCATACTCTTGAATGAGGAATAGTAAAAATAACTTTTCAGTCTTGAATCACTAATACATTTAAACCTGCTTGTATTTCTTATAATAGACAAACACAAAGCCTGTAATAAAACTGGATGTTAAATGAACACTATATCTAAGAATTATCTTTTCATCTGTTCTTGAATTACCTACTTTTATGTCTTGGTGAGATAACATACTGAAAAGATATACTTGTACCTTGTGCTATTTGAACACTTCTGAATGCATTGTTACTGTAGTGTGTAGTTCGTAAGATTTTACGTGCTTAGACATATACATATCAGGGCTTTTATTTAGTTTCCTGTAGAGCTATGTCTTTTCCTATCAATGATACATTTAAAAGCATGAAATTAAGCATAAATTTGGCAGGTAAGGCTTTGTTCCAAACACTGTACAAAAGTGACCAAACTCGACTACACTAATTGAACACATTTATGTCTTCCCGTGAGTCAATTGGAGCACATTTCACCTTTAAGCATTCAAAGTTTTGTTTTGTTTTAAATAGAGCTAAAAAGTAACATTTTAAAAATTCTGGTACCAGAAAAATAAGTATGGAAAATACTTAGCATGGAAGAAGGGAAGGGATTTGGAGTGGTTAGACTGAGCCTGAATCCTGGCACTGCCACTGTACTATGCAGAAGAGCCTCTTTCCACATCCGTGGGAATGAAACTAATTGAACTCACACCTTACTAGAAACGTTCTTGTAAGAATTAAATAACTTCTCGGTTTGTGAAAGCACCTGTTGCAGGGCTCCGGAGATAAGGTCAGGCACACCCAGTGTTAGTTTCCCTTGGATCTCTGCTTTTGTCACAGGCTTTATCAGTCTGCAAAATAAATTATTATGTCCTGAAGACAACATTTTAAATGCTGTGATTTTTATTTTGGTCGTATGTAATCTTTCTGGACAGGGTTTTTCATTAATCTTCACCTAAACGTTAGAATATATTAAATTTTCTTTATAAATTGTGTGTGCACTATGGAGAAAATTATTCTTGTGCTTGTGAAAGCAAAACACACAGGTTTAGAGGCAATACATGTCAGTCTATAAAACTGAAAGATCAGTATAAAAATATGTAACAAATGCTAGCTATACCTTAATTACTAGACCTTGATGGGTATGACTTTGTATTTATTGGGTAATACAGAGAGTTAAATATTAATTATTATCAGCTACTTTAAATTGTAGTCCTCAACTTTGGCTATATATTGTAATTATGTGGGAAGCTTAAAAAAAGCATTGATGCTTAGGCCCTAGAGATGCTGATTTAAATAGTCTGGTGTGCACTGTGGGCATCACTGTTCTCAAAAGCTTCCCAGATGATTCTGATGTACAGGCAAGGTTAAGGACCACTGATTTGAAGACTTGATTCTTGGTTGGCATAAAGATTAAAATCCAATGCTAGCCGGGCACCTTGGGTTTTGAAGTAAAATGACAGATTTAGCTATAATGGGAACTGATTATTTGCATGGCATTTTACAGCCTCACACAGTCCTTTCCTTTATGTGAGTCTCATTTATATTCTCTGCTGCTTTGAAAATCTTTGGGTGGTAACCGCTATCAAAGGTGGATCATGTTTCTGTTGCAAGCAAGTTAGATTAGAAATCCCACACATATTTTCCCACGTCCTTTCTCTTTGCTCATGCTCTTCCCTCCATCTGCCATGTCCTACCTTCCCATCCTATGTTTAAATCCATCCTGTATGTCTTTCAAGGCTCAATCTTTTTCCTAAAGTAGTTTAAAAGATATTATACCAGTTTCCATGCAGAACTGTTTGCAGCCATCTATTTAGGTATATGACCTGAATTAGACATCATACCAAGTGCCTCTGTCTCTAACTTGGAATTATGAACTAGCCACATTCTAGGTTCTTTCCCTAGAGAATAAACCTTTGTACTACTGTCTGCTGCCCAATTCTTATTAGAAGCTCTTAGACTTCCACAAAGATATGTGATTCATCCATTCTTTTAGAATAGTGGTTCTGAACTTTCTTTGAACCAATAACCCATTTGAAAATTGGCTAGAAACTGTGGACTCTTGTTTGAAAATTACATGTATACACATGTATGTATTTAGGTTCAGGCACCTCCCTCTTTAGAGAACTATTGTATGCTAGTTAAAGACTTGAACTCTTGGTGTAAAAAGCACAATATGATCCATAGATCAAATCTGACCATGAAGAGGGCTAAATACTCAGACCACATTGTTTTGCTTCCCCTGATTAAATTGCTTTTATTGAATTGAACATTGTTATGCTTCACTCAGCATTGAACATTTTGAGAAACAGCTCTGTGAAATTCACTTTTGTTTTTATTGTAGCGATATTGGAGATTTTATCTTTATTTCGGTGTTTTTGAAAGCATAAGGTGGCAATCCATTAGTGGGTTATAAAATCAATTTAGTGGTCTCAACCAATATTTCTTGATTTTGTATTATTTTGCTTTTTTTCTATGTTGTATTTAAATATTAATAAAATCATATTTGATTTTAATGTTACACTTTTTTCTTTATAGTATTTCATGAACCTTTTAATTTTTATGTAATGCGTGTATACTGAATTGCTATGCAAATTATATTTCTCACTGTGTTTTGTGATCAGTAAAGCTTAAAAACTACTGTATTTCATTATATTTGTTTTAAAGTGGACTGAAAGGAGAAATTTTTTCTCTTTATTCTTATCTGTAAAATGGCAATAATAATAGTTGCTACCTGATAGGATTATTATGAGCAGTAAATATATATAAAGTACTTAGAACAGTGCTTACCTAGTACACAGCAGGTGCTCAATAAATGCTATTATTTTTACCAGGAACAGCAATCTTCAGAGGTAATGCTTTGTTTTTATCTTATGCACATTAAAGACTTTTGTTATGAATCATGTCCTTTGCTTTGGCTGCTGAGAAAAAGCAGCTCAGACATAAATTTATGGCCAAGGGTTAGCAGCTAACCTTTTGGCTATCTTCCCTTGGCCCTGATTTATCATTTAAATACTTTCGTTGCATGTCTGCAAGCAGCCCTCACACCGTCTGGGACATCAGAATCATCAAAATGTGACATTTTAAATTTAATTCTATTATAATTTCAGAGATGTTTTTATATTCATCTGTGCCAAGAGGGAAAGTTGAGGCTCTCGTGAACATTCACTTGCCTATTTAAACTGTAGATTAACTCAAATATCAGTTTGGTTAGTTTCTGACTTTCTCAGCTTTTTACTAGATGATTGAGTTCAGCATGGAGAAGAGAATTATGATAGCATTAGCATTAGTACCGTATTGAACAAGTTTGTAGGCCCAGTTAAACCTGTGCTATGTGGAAATATAAATTACAGTAGATTTCCTCACAGTGAAACTCTACTAAATCTTTTTATGCAATGAAATAAAAAGCTGTCCATCAAGAACTTTCATGGAATAATATGGTTCAATATTTTTCCATAATGTGGCATCAGAATAATATTGGAGTTTTAAATTATTTGTCAGTATTAAATAGTACATGCTTTTTAAGTTACTTTGGTAACAAGTTCCATCAAGAACTTTCTTGGAATAATATGGTTCAATATTTTTCCATAATGTGACATCAGAATAATATTGGAGTTTTAAATTATTTGTCAGTGTTAAATATTACGTGCTTTTTGTTACTTTGGTACATACTATGTATCTGTCATGAAGCATTTCTGAGCAAAATGGTAAATGTCACATTTCTGATTAAGGTAAATAAGTTTATATGGTAAAAATACCTGGAAAAGGTGTTATTAAAATGTAGGAATTGCAATTTTCTGAACTCCCTCTAGGGGTATACAATTCTTAAGGCTGATTTCTCAGTTTTATGTTTTTAGAAACATAGTGGTTGCTGTTTTGAATCTTTAGTGATTAAATAATCCATTTAAATCTGGAAAAAACTACTTAGACTTCTTTGACCATATTTAATATAAACCTTAAGAGATGAATGCTCCTATATGTCCAAGAATTTTTGGAACCCAGAAGTCCTGAGAAACAAATGGTAAAAGACAGATTGTAGAAGTCTTTCCCCTTAACAGAAAAGTTAGAGTCTTATATGTAGGTTTAATTTTTACTACTTTTAACAATTTGGAGCATTTGCAATGTAAATTTCAAATCCAAACAAATGTGGGAGAATTTATTCTTGATGGGAATAAATTTAAAAGTGGAGAGGGGCTACTCCAGTGATAGGGAATAGAAAAGAGTAGGAAAGGAAATTAGTACAGTAGAGGTAAAGCTGTTGACAATGAAGTCTTGGTAGCAGTCAATGGTGAGGAAGATCCTGCCCTCAGAATACATACCTGTGTATGTGATATGGTAGGATGTTGGAATCTGAGATGTATGTGTATCAGAGGGCTGATGGCATGTGCTTTGATACAAAGTTATGGTGGGTGTAGCTTTGTAATTATTTTAAGTTTTAGAGAAGAAATTGGAGAAATGTTCGTTTTATATTAGAGTTATTTGGATTTTTCTAATGTGTAAATGTTAGAATATTTCCCCAACTGTATTGGAGGATATAAGTTAGTGAAATCACTCTTGGTCTTGGGGGTCATGGGGGAATCTCAGAGGTCAGTGATCTAGGCATGAAATTAGAAAGGCTTAAGGCCGGGCGTGGTGGCTCACGCCTGTAATCTTAGCACTCTGGGAGGCTGAGGCGGGAGGATTGCTTGGGGTCAGGAGTTCGAGACCAGCCTGAGTAAGAGCAAAACCCTTTTTCTACTAAAAATAGGATGGATGGATGGATAGATAGATAAATTAGAAAGGCTTGAGTATTTTTTTTTTTTTTTACTGAAATTATAGAGAAAGGAAGTCTTAAGTGGGTAAGAGATGGTAAATGGAAATTGACTATGTTCTTGAAGACATTTCAGATGTCATTATGTTCTTTTTGTAGGGCTGTCTTTATTTTTGTGAGCATAAAATTATTTGTGGAGTGTTTCAAGGTCCAATTGAGACAAACTTTCACTAACTCATGGTTTCTAGAAAGTTCTTAAATTTCTCAAAGGAGAATTGCTAGAAGGAAGCATACCTAATGGGAAGGGGTCTGTAGACTTGGAAAGACTCAGGTTTGAAAGTTAGTTTTGCCATTTAATTATTTCTTAGGTCAACGACTTCACTCTGGACCTTGGCTTTGTTATCTCTAACACAAGTATACAGTAATTTTTAAGTTGAGAGTTTTTGTGAGGTTTGTGTGTAACAGATTAGGCATTCAACAAATGGTAGCTGCTGTTATTAGTCATTTTTAGGAACCTAACCTGGTGGCTGGAAGGATCCATGTTTTAGTTCTGTAAAGTTTTAAATACAGAAGTGTTCTTCAAACCTGACATATAAATGAAGAGAAATTCACCTAACTTACATCCACTTTTCATTGCCTATTTCTGCAAGTGACTTTTGTATTTTGTTAGGCATATATACTTTTATAAAGTCCTTCTTCAGCTACACAATAGCTTTTACTGTTATTTTAATTTTTTAAAATATAGCTTACTAGGTTTTCCTATTAAATTTGCCACATTGTTTTGTGGTAGAGTATTCTTCCATATCCTCGTATTGGAAGTAGGGCAAGTATTTAAATATTTGAATTTTTCTATCTAAAGGTAAGTTATCAGAAATGGAAAGCTGGTTCCCTTTTTATGTTTTTTAATGCTTGTAATATATCACTAAGAAGAATATCCTGTGTGTGAAAACAAGCATTATTTCTTTTCGAGCCTTTTTGTAGAATTTTTTAAGTTTCTATAATAGAATTATGTGTCACAATTATAGTGTCCAAGAAATTTTATTTCCATTTGTCGAGCATTTGCTATCTAATTCAATTTCACAAAGATAATTCAGTTGGAGACTATTAAAAAACAGTACATTTAGAAGAAAAGCTACCTAAAATGTAGCATTATGATCATTGTTGGGTGTGTTGGTTCTAGCTTATTAATAAAACAGTACAAAGTCGTGAGTTTCCAACTCATTGGAAGTCTGTTGTGAACTGATTCTATTTTAATATACATTGCATTCATTTCTTCTTAATATTTTTATTAGTTTTCAAACACCTAATTAGGTGAAACTGAATTGATTCAATCTTTATGTTACAGGAGATTACCTGGAGCAATTGATGTTATTGGTCAGACTATAACTATCAGCCGAGTAGAAGGAAGGCGACGAGCAAATGAGAACAGCAATATACAGGTTTAGTATTAAAAAATAAACAGTTGTTTTAACTGGAAGATTGTTTCTGAGTTCTAATTTAATTAATAAACATTCGTAGTGTTATGCTGTGTTTTAGGTGCTACAGAGAGATTTAAAAGGTGGAACCAGTCATCCTTATATTTATACAAAGGCATTTTCTATGTAGAATTTATAATCTCTGGATCTTTTGTAGGAAGGTTTTTCATTTTCCTTGTTATAAATATAATACAGGTTGAATATCCCTTATCAAAAATGCTTGGGACCAGATATGTTTCAAATTTTGGAATTTTTTGAATTTTGGAATATTTCCATATACATAATGAGATATCTTGGTGATGGGACCCAAGTCTAAACATGAAATTTGTTTCATGAATAATTTGTTATAATAATTTATTAATTTATTAAAATATTTTTCCCTTGGGGACCCTGAATAAACTATGTTGTGGACCTGCATTTTGACTGTGACCACCCATCACATAGGAAGTCAGGTGTGGAATTTTCCACTTGTGATAGAATTTTGGTGCTCAAAAGTTTTGGATTTTGTAGCATTTCGGACTTCAGATTTTTGGATTAGGGATGCTCAACCTGAATATATGTTCATTGAACAAAAAATTGGAATATGAGAAAAGTTTAAAGAGGAAAAAGATCACCGATGATTCTACCGCCTAGAGATAACCCCTCTTAACGTTCTGGTATATCCCTTCCTTATTACTAAGCAAAATTGGGATACTGTTATGTTTTTGTGTATTTTTTAATCTAAAATTATAATTTGCTGTTTTTTATATTATTTTTAAAACTAAGATTTAAAATCTCTTCATGATAGCTTTATTGTACGGATATACCATAATTTATTTAGTGTGACATTTCTAGGGGTGTGTAGAGGTCCTTTGTTTTCAAGTCAAAAAAAAAATGAAGGGAGATGAGTTATGAGTAAGCTGGATAATTAGAACTTTAGTAAAACTGTGACTTCCAACTACTCAGCTTGACTATACTTTATTCATTCCCTTTTTCTGAGTACTTTAAAAATGTCCAAGGTGTTTTAATTCTTACCTTCAGTAAATTATTAATGTAAGATGTTCTTTTCAGCATCTTTAAAGACAAATCATTTCTAAAATGGAAGATAATTCTCTTTTTCTTTCCCTTCACCATTAAAATGTCACGATTTCTTAAAATAATTGTTCTCTACTTTAAGAAATAGCTTATCAGCATAAACCTTACAAAAATGACTATACTTAACTGTAGGAAGAGTTAATGAAATGAGGGACTGTAAAATGATACACTTTAGTCAACAAGGATTTTGAGAAGTATAAATTACATACACAACATTTATGCTGGCTGGTTTTGCTTTTTCTCAAACCTGTCACACATACTTAGGGAACTCGTGAAAAGTCCAAATTTCTAGGTGCCACTTTGCTTGCTGTTTTATTTCAGTAGATTTGGAGTGTTTCTAATGGTATTGGTCCCTTACCTGTTCACACAGATAAGCATTTTGCAAACACTGTTTTTCAAGCATAAACCCTTGTTCTTAAATTTACAAGGGTCATACGAAAAAGTCATTCACTTTTATTGCTTCCTATTACTTGCAACCTGTTGATGCATGCCTGACAGTCTCTTTGCAACCTGGTGGTGACAGGCCCTAGTAAAGTGAATGACCTGCTGCCATGTTAATTTCTTAAGGCTAGTATCTACGATTAATGATTACATTGCCTTAACTTGAATACTTTAACTTTGGTTGGGTGACAAAGATTATTTGTTACCTTTTATATATAAAGTACTTGTTTTCTGTTTGGAATGTTTTTATTACCTAATTACTTTTTATTAAGAATCTTTTTAGGTAATGATCCAGTTGTTTTTCCTAGGCTTTGAATATGCACATTTTAAAAAGTATGTATGTGAGTGTATATATGTGAGTATATATAGCTATATATATATATATATAAACATAGAACTGTTACTCTTCCCAAAAAATATATGTATATGAATTAAACAACCTTTTACTTTGTTTCTTAGATAAAATGAAATTAATTTACTAAGATTAATCTTAGATAATAACATTTACTCATCTTTTTAATTAACTATGTTCTGCTTCTAGGTCCTCTCTGAAAGATCCGCTACTGAAGTAGACAACAATTTTAGCAAACCGCCTCCATTTTTCCCTCCAGGAGCTCCTCCCACCCACCTTCCACCTCCTCCATTTCTTCCACCTCCTCCGTCTGTCAGCACTGCTCCACCTCTGATTCCACCACCAGGTAAATAGTAAAGACATTTGATTTTGAAGCAAAAAGAACCCATGTTTCTTCTTTGAATTTAACAAAATACATACCGTAAAATAATGTCTTGACTGATTGCATTGCATTAGAAGTAATAGATATAATATCTATTATGGTAAGTCTTGAACAGATTCATCCTGAAACAGATACATGTGTCTTGCTATTTCAATATAGCAAAGAGAAAATATTCTAAAATAGAGAATGTACAGATACTGAAATTGTGATCCAGAAACATGATAGTAATCCCCAAACTAAAGTCGCCAATAGTAAATGTATAAATCCAGATCCAATTATAAGCCACATGTTAACTTATTTTGAAAAAATTTTTAAAGATACCTTTAGAATTAGAATAGGTGAAAAAAAAAATTATATCCTTTGAAGAGATTGCAATTAAAATTTCAGTCTGATCTTTCTTTTTTATGTTGGTTTCCTTTTAGGAGACTGCTATTGGGTAAATACCTGGTATTTACTTCTTTTAAACAAGACAGAAAAGTAATGTATATGGTATTTTTAGCTACTTTTATTTTATTAAAAACCAGGTCCTTGGTAATAGAGAAAAAAATTCACAAATAATCCCTAAATCTTATTTTTATTATACTTTCAATCTTTCATCCAGTGGTCTTTGTTACTGTATTCCCAATAAGTTTTCAATATTTATCCATCTTAGCCAAATTTTTATGAAACTTAACAAGAATGATTGAGATTATAATTAGTTTTTCATAGGGAGAATGCCAGTAGTAAGGCATAAAAATTAGCTGCTGGTCTTAATCAGAATACCTATGAGACATGTATTAGGATTTACTTCCTAATAACAAAAACAGTTTATACTAGAGAGCCATATACTCTCACTCACTTTGCATTTGGAAGAGAACGGTCTTTGTTTTGAGGTGCCAGTTGTAATCAGAGTACAGAGCCAAATAAAGGGTTAGAATAGTCCTTCCTAACGTATTCATCCTTGCCTCTAAATGTCAGCTACTGCCTCCGTCCTTCATCCTCAACACCTTCAATTTCTTTCCACTGTCTCCTCTACTCTCAAAAAGGATAAGAAAAATATTATGAAAAATGACTTGTGGCTTTAGAGAATCTACTGTCTCAAAAATTGAGAAAGAGAAGACTGGAGTAGGTTAGAGGCCCTTACTCCACACAGCGTTCTTTCTAAAGGTCAATGAATTTCTTGTTGCTACAACTAAATTAAACACAAGCTCTAAGTTCGGATTGGACCTGTGATTCTGCGGTCGTTAATATACTGAATATTAACCAAATGAAAGAGGACTCATGTGATTCATGAGGAGGATTAGTGTGATTCTTAAATGAGTCCTTTATTCTCTGAAAAAGAGATAAAATGTAGAAATAATTAAGTTTTGAATTTATTTGATTAATGAGACTAGAGATGATTAATGTCTGTGATAATAGTCCTTATGCTAGATTGCTTTGTAATCTTATTTAAACTTTACTAGGTACTAAAGGTGATTTGAAAGAATTTTGTTCTTTTTAAATTTTTAAAAATTTTATTTTTAATTGACAAATAATTGTATATATTTATGGGGTAGAGTGCGATGATGTGATCTGTGTTCACCTTGTGGAATGATTAAATTAAGCTAGTTAACATATCCATCACCTCACATATTTATCGTTTTTTGTGGTGAGAACATTTAAAATCTTTTAGCAATTTTGAAGTATACAGTTATTATTAACTAGTCATGTTGTACAGTAGATCTCTAAAACTTATTCCTCGTGTCTAACCTAAACTTTGTACCCTGGAGCATCATCTCCCATTCTCCACCCATACCTCCCAGCCTCCTGGTAACCACCATTTTACTGTCTACTTCTACGAGTTCAGCTTCTTTAGACTCCACATATAAGTGAGATTGCGCAGTATTTGTCTTTCTGTGTCTGGCTTATTTCACTTAGCATAATGTCCTCCAGGTTCAGGCGTGTCATTGCAAATGACGGAATGAAAGAATTTCCTCATTGACTAGCTAATAATATATCCCCAGGTAGCTAACATTTGTTCAATACTAGTTGTTTATTTAAGTAGTAGAGAAGTGGTTTGAATTAAAGATGAAAAAATAAATACTTGGCTGGTATAAGAGTATCCAGAAGCTCTGGCAGTGGCATTATCTGGAAATTTACTTTTTTGCAAAATGATAAAATTACTCCCTTTTTTGCCATATAGCCTCTGTTTATAAGTATAACAAATCTTCGAATAATGTTTGGGTTATTGTTGGCTTTATGCTATAGAATGCTGCTGATTATTTTTCTGTTGCTGACTCTGTCTAGTGATAATTCTCAGCTATGTGCTTTTCATATTTTTATACCTATTTAGATTTCCTTTTTTGCTTATTCTTGGATTGTATTTCCATAAGCTGTCAGCATTTAAGGAATACAGATTTAGATGAATTCTAATGTTACTTTTAGCAGTCCCTAACTGGGGCTTATGTACTGGGGGATACCAATTCATATTAAAACCAAATATTTGGAAGTTGAGACTGGATTACCCCTTATTTTTACTAGATTGTGAGCCGTTAGGGAGAATATAAGCTATGTATTTCCATCGTTGTTTCCCTGCAATGATAGTCACAGTGTCTTATGTATACTTGGCTTTCTCTAAATATGTTACCTAATTGAGTGAAATATACACACACACATATATATATGCATATATACACATATATAAAATAAAAACACCAGAGGTGACTTTCAGATTGACAGTTGATATAATTAGAATGGGCACTGGCTCTAAACAACAGTGTGGCTGCATAGATATATACCGGCTGAATGCACACCCTGGTTAAAGACAATTTTCAGTTACCATTTACCTCAGAAGCGCATGGTTAGACTATGTTCTATAGTGTTATAATTTAAATCCCCTTAAGAGTCACAAGAAGCTGATGAAAGAAAGCTGTGACTCAGGAGTCTTTTTAAGTATTGCCTTAAAAGGTATTCCCTTTGTCTTAGAGAAAACCTTGAGTTTTCTTTTCTGCTTTCTTTAGAAATACTGAACGGAAAAGGAAAAAATATGTTTTAAAGAATTGATTTAAATGTACTCTAATGTTGCTTTTGTTAACATAAGTTTTTAAAACTAAAGTCCTAAGTATGACAAAACAAATACAGTGGTGATGTATTATTCCTGTGTTTTAGGATGCTAGCAGTTTTTTTTAAAAAAAATAGGGTGACCATAAATCCAGATTTGCCTCGAACAGTCCTATTTTGTATCTTTTATGCCAGCATAATTATTATTATTCATCCTTAGAAACGCTCTGGTTTGGATGATGAACTTTGTGGTCAACTCTTCTTGGAGGTTTACAGAAAGGCTCATTGCATAAGTAGGTAGTTTACTCCTTGACAATTATGAGATGGTAGAGACAGCTCCCATCCAAAGGATTTTACTGTCAAGTAATTGACAGAAGAGGATAGATGTATTGTTTCCTCTCCCCCTCAAACACACATCTACAAATATATGTGAAACCTTATTTAGTAACACAGAGAGGACAAAGAATTTCTGGCCATAATAAATTTTTGTTAGAGTACAACAAAAATGGAGTGTATCTCTGGGAGTGCAAAATTATTTAATGTGGTTCCTTTTACAGCCATATGCACGGTAGCTTGAAAACATATATCGGTTGATTAAGGTCTTCGATAATTTTTAGAAAATCTGTTATTTTCATTTTCTAGTGAACCAGAAAATAATTTCTGTTAAGTTTTTTCAGAAATATATTAGTGTGGTTTCATGCTGCTTCTGAGTAATAGTAGAATAGCTAATGCTTACTGAATGCTTACTTTCGAAAGAAAGTACTGTTCTGAGCACATCCCATATATTAACTCACCTGATTCCTGAACATCATCTGAAGTAGATATTCAGGTTTTATAGATGAAGAAACCTAGATTTAAGGAATTCAGGTAATAGCTAGAAAATAGCAGAACCAGAATTCTAACCCAGGTAGTTTTTCTTGAAAGTCTATTTTCTTTATTAACTATGTTGAAATGAATCAGTATCTACTGCAGGAAAACTATGTTATGTGTATTTACCACAGTAACATATCTGAGAAGGTTTTGTTTTTTTTAAAGCAGTTCCTGGATGTCAAAGTATATGCATATATATTTATGGGTGGGGAAGTTAGGGAGATCGTAAAGAGCAGGAATCAGATTTTTGTTTAAAAAATCCAGTTAAGGTTTTACTATTTGCCTGATTTGTGTTAGGAAGTCTATGTTTAACTGAATAAGTCAGTTTTGAAATACTTGGTTATTGGAAAAAAAATTGTAAAATTGGAAGGATGTTATAGGGCAGGTGATTTTGTGTTTGCCTGTTTATTGTGGTAAAATATACATAATATTTATCATTTTAACCATTTATAAGTGTTCAATTCATTGGCATTAAATACATTCACAACGTTGTGTAACCATCACCATGATCTATACCTAAAGCTTTTTCATCATCCCCAACAAAAACTCTGTACCCATTAAACATCAACTCCTTTCCCCCTCCTGCCGGTCCCTGTTAACCTCTGTTCTACTTTCAGTCTCTATGAATTTACTTATTTTACTTACCTTGTATCAGTGGAATCATATATTTGTCTGTGTTTGACTTACTTTGTTTCTGAAATAATAGAATTTAATTAATGATTGTGAACTAACTTTATGGTAGGCTTTTAATTTAGGTTTTTAAATGTTAATTAACTTTAGTATAATCATATTTTATCTTCATTTTTTATAATGGACTTTATTAAAGGATAGAAGGCAAGTTAAGTTTGACTCATTTCTTGTTGCATTAACTATATTCTCATATGACTGGTTCTGTAGGTCTTGGGAGCAATTGAAATCTATCCCAGTAGTAGAATTCTACTAAGTTGAAGGTTCTTTGCTTTACTAATATGTAGCCCAGCTATTCTCAACCACAAACAAGGCATCTCTGCTTTTGAAGTTGACTGTAGTGTTTGGCTGTTATCAGATATCAAAGGTATAAGATTCTTTTAGGAAAG